GTATTTCTCTATTTCTCTCTCTATCCCTTTATCTACCTACCTACCTAACTACTCTCTCTCTCCCTACCTACTGTATTTCTCTATTTCTCTCTCTATCCCTTTATCTACCTACCTACCAAACTACTCTCTCTCTCTCCCTACCTACTGTATTTCTCTATTTCTCTCTCTCTATTTCTCTCTCTCTCTATCCCTTTATCTACCTACCTACCAAACTACTCTCTCTCTCTCCCTACCTACTGTATTTCTCTATTTCTCTCTATTTCTCTCTCTTTCTCTAGCCCTTTATCTACCTACCTACCGAACTACTCTCTCTCTCTCCCTACCTACCTACTGTATTTCTCTTTCTTTCCCTCTCTATCCCTCTATCTACCTACCTACTTTTTTTTAAAGCCTTTTCAAAACCTTGGTGCGCCTTATACTCCGGTGCATCTTATACTCCGAAAAATACGGTAAATCACTGTAGTTGTTAAGTTAGTAACATGGCTGTTAAGTGAATCTGGCTTCCCCGTTGACTTTGATGAAACAATAAAAAAAACAAAACACCAATCCTAGTTCAAATGCTTCTTTATCACACCGGTACTAACTGACCACAACATTCTTGCAAAAATGGAGTAATTGTTTCCTCCCACATTTCCACTTTCCCTCCCCCTGAGCCCATCCCCAGCGTCCTATTGGAATGCATATAGTCAAAGACTTTGCAAGCAACCCCCTCCCTGCTCTCCTGTTCCTCTATCCATTAAAGATAAGTTCCTTTTCAGCAGTTTAAGGGGACATCACTGATAATCGCAGCCTCTGTAAGCCTTGATTACATTGAGTCATGCTTTCTGTCTTGCTGATAACAGCAGCCGTCACTCAGCTGTTGGCTGAGCTCCAATGCCAAGCCAAACAGAAAGACAGGCGAGACTCCAGTGAGGCTCCAGCAATCCAGGAGCTCCAGCAGGGGCCACGAAGGTTAGCCAGATGACGGTGGGGCCACGAAGGTTAGCCAGATGATGGTAGGAACCCAATGTACCCGTGGCAGCCTCGGACGCCGTGGACAACGAGGCTGACGCTTTGCTTCTCAGAAGGTCACAAAAGAGCATCACGTGATCCCAGGACACTGCAACTGTCCTAAATATGAATCAGTTGCCAAGTGTCCGACTTTTGATCACGGGACCATGGGAATGCTACGACTGTCCTAAGTGTGGAAAACGGTTAGGTCCCAGTTTTTTCAATGCCATTGTTAACTTCGAACGGTCACTAAACGTTTTAAGTCGAGGGGGGGGGCTATCCATATTACACCAATGACCTCCCACGAACAGCTTTCTTACCTGCAAGTAGGGTTCAAGTGCAGTGAACACTTCAAAATCCTTCAGATTAGCTCCATTTCTAATGTACTTCTCAATCCTCTCCTTCCTTGCCTGCGGTTGAAGCTGTGGGTGGGCTGTTTCCCGGGGGATGCTCAGCACGGTCTCATTGACGTAAACGGAAAAGAGGTTGCAGGTGGCTTCCTCCGTATAGGGTGAGAACTCCCATCCAATTTTCTGCTGGTTATGACCCAGTTCGTGGATTGGGCCCCAGGTTCCTTTGGCGTAGAAAGCTTGCACGTCTACGAGGGCAGGCACAGCCCACAAATTCATGATGATCGGATAGTCAGTGTGCTTGGAATCTAACCAAAAAGTTGGGAGGGATATAATTAGATGGAGGGTCTAGGACTGAGCTGTCAAACTGGTGGCCCACAGGCCAAATGCGCCACACACAGGCCACACCCACCCCAGACAAAAAACATCGCGATACATCACGATACATCACAATCGAGTTTGACAACTAGGACACCTCATTGTAGCCAACTCACTGTGGCCATGTCTCCACAGTCAAGTCACCATGGATGGGGTGCCATGGAATGACGTGCCACCGACAATTCCATGAGGGATAACGCAACACAACGAATGTTATCTGCCACTCTTTCTTCGACATGATTTCCATTCTTGTCGGTGGAAGTAATGTCAAGGAAACAGTGGCAGGATAACGGCTATCATATCCCCCCCCCCCCGAAGTCCTTCTTTTCTCTAGACTAGCCGAAGCCAAATCCTGCAAACATTTTCATGTTTTAGTCTCCAGGCCTTTAATCATCTAAGTTGCTCTTCTTTGTAATGTGATAACCAAAACTGGATGCAGTATTCCAGGTGCGCTCTTATTAAGGCTTTATAAAGTGGTACCAATACGACACATGATTTTGATTCTATATTCTGTTTATACAAGTAAGAATTGTATTGGGTTTTTTGGCTGCTGCCGCACACTATTGGCTCGTATTTAAATGATAATCCACTAGGACTCCAAGATCCATCTCTCTTGGCACAAAGCGGTTGCCCAGCCATGGCCTAAGAGATCAAAGCAACTAATTTGTCTGTAATATAATATATTCCCCTTGCCTTCGGAAAAAAAAAATGACAACTCTCATGCATCAAAATCACATATACGCTGCATAACGAAATAAACATTCCTAGCAGTCAATGATTAAATTACAATTCTACAAAGTATTAACACCAAACTACCCCAAAAGGGAGGAAGTAAGATTGGCGAAATTTTACTTCTCTAAACAAGATTTTTTTTTACACCAGACGGGATGTGGCTTTGACTCAATAGGTATTTCAGTGAGGGGCTAATGGGAAATCCTGAGCCCTGTAGGTTAGCCCGCAAAGTTGAGTAAAATTTTTAGAAGCAAGCAATTAACAAACCACTTTGGTGTTGTTATATGGATGTCCCTGGGTTGGGTTCACCTCAACTCAAGAGGAAATTTTACCGTGGGAGTTTAATTTAAAGGGCATAAAGTGAATTTTGCTCAGGAAGGAATTCAAGTACCAGACCTGCAACAGAAAAATCCCTGAGCAATCTTACGTTTCTTTGTGGGATTTCTTGTTTCCATAATTTTCTCCCTGTCCACTTGTTGTCACAGGAGGAGAATCATCCAAGACCCTTCTTGAGACAACGTCACCTGATGGTATCTGGAGCCTACTTGTCTTTTCAAATGCATGTAGCTCTGACACTGTTACCCCCACCCCACCCCCTTAGACAGCTCTCTTTTTGTACCCCAGCATTTGAGCAAGATGATGGGTGAACCTGTCTTCTAAGTTGGATTGCGCACCTGCCTCATCCTGGCCATACGTTGATACCAGGGGTGGGTTTCAACCGGTTCGCGGCAGTCCCCGCGAACCGGTTGAAGTAACTTCCGGGAACGGCGAAGGGCC